GAGGTTAAAGAAGTTAGCATAATGAAAACCACCTCCTGTCTGATGAAACACTGTCTGGAGCTGTGGCTTCCGACCCGTGCAGCCCCAACGCTCCCAAAATCAAGGGTGGATCATAAATCCCTGCAGAGATCAGTAGGGTGCTGTAGGGGTCCCAGGACAGAGAGATGGGAAAATGAGCTAAAACAGTATGTACTTCCTGCTGTAAATGCATGGGCCTAAGGCTTGCCCTCAGCCACCACCCGGCCACGGCACACACGGCATTCCAGGGACGGACACTGGCAGCTGCAATTCCGCAAGCTGAGGGGGTGCGGTGTCCAGAAGCGGGGAAAGCATCTTTCATGAGATCTAAAACAAAGAAAAAAATCTTCCAAAATGTATTATTTTCCCCATTTACCCAACATGTACAGTCTTGGAAAACTCAGGATATCTGAACCATGTCCCACCTCTGAAGCAAAATAAAACCCTTGGGTGTTATCTGTGAAACACACATAAGTGCTAAATTCAATTGTTTGTTTGAGATGAACTTGTTTGTTACTAAAGACTCCGAGTCTATTTCAGTTTTCGTTTTCCTCCTTTTTTGTTTAAGCCACTTAACCAACTATTTGGGTTTGAGGGACAAGGAATCTGTAGGGTTTGGGGTTTTGTTTTAAAGGAAAGAAAGAAGCATACTTTATCTGTTTACCCAGCTCCTCCAAAGAAATGAACCCAACGCCCAGCTCCTCTGAAACCCCCCATTACTGTAGTTCTCCTCCCCTTCATCCCGCCTCCCGCCCCGCCCCCTCACCCATAACCACGCCCTCCCCTCGCCCCACTCCGCCCCGTCCCTTCCTCCATGGAGTCACCAGTCTTCTTTATGGGTGTACAAACTACCCCCCCCTTTGTTTTTCCTTATAACAATGGTGTTATTAAACGTTTATTTTTATAAGACTTGTTTGCTAACCATAACATTTTCTCGATAGCTTCTCCATTCGAGTATTGCTTTTCTGCTCTGTTCCCTCTGCTCTTGTATATTTGTTCATTTTTGTCTTCACAGAGGAATGTTGTCTGATTCCTCGTTTTTGTTCGTTTAGTTCCATTTCACTTTGAATATCGCTTAAATAGGATATTTTCTCCAGAAAATTTGCTTTTCTAATATTTTTAGGTTGTTGCCTATTGTTGCTATAGATTTTCCATCCATAGAATTCCTTTTAATATTTTTTGTAAAGGTAGTCATGTTTTTATAAATTCCTTATCTGTAAATGTTTTTATTTCTCCCTCATAATTATTTTATTTGTTTATCATTTTATTGGGGGCTCATACAACTCTTATCACAATCCATACACACATCAATTGTATAAAGCACATATGTACATTCGCTACCCTCATCATTCTCAAAACATTTGCTCTCCACGTAAGCCCCTGGCATGAGCTCCTCATTTTCCCCCTCCCTCCCCGCCCCCACTCATGTTTGAGGCATAATTTTCTCCCTCATATTTGAGGGATTGATTGGGATTTTTTTTTCTTTAAGAATTTGGAACATATCATTCCATTGCCTTCTTTCCTGAATGGTTTCCGTAGAAAAATCTGCACTTATCCTGATCTCTTCCTTTTCTTGAATATTAGAAAGCTCGATTATTATATGCTGAGGCGACTTCCTTTCAGGGTCAGTTCTGTTTGGAGTTATATGGACTTCCTGCATAGTTATTTTATTTTCTGACGTGTTAGGGAAGTTCTCCCTTAAGATTTCTTTTTTTTTTTTAGTAGGGAAAGGGTCACTCAGAACCACCACCACCACCCACTCCCCCATTAGCCCTGTACCTGGGCCCTCCAACCCTGTGGGCCTAGGCTTGCTCTTAATTCCCTGCCCATTCCCTTAAGATTTCATTGACTATTTTCTCAGTAGTTACTACATCTGCTTTCTCATCTGGGACATTTATTGGGAGTATGTTTTTCCTTTGGATGGCGCCCCATAGTATTCTTAGGTTATCTTCAACTTCTTTTTGTCATTTTTATGACCTGGTCTCCTTGTGTTTTGTTCTGGAGAATTGTGTCGTAAAGATCCCTGATTCCAATGTTTCTCTCCTGCTGTGTTGTTCTTCCACACTGTTTTCCCGTTCTGATATTTTGGTGTTTGCTTTTTGTACTTCTGTTGCAAGCTGTGCTATCTCTAACTTTTTATTCATTTTGTCAGCATGTTCCTTCAAGGCATTCCTGAATTCTAGAATGGTGGCTTGTGTTTCTTCTCTCTCTCTATCTACATTTTCTCCCATGGACATTAACTGGAGCCCGCCACTGTTGTGAGAGGATTCGCAGTCCTCTCTTCCTGCAGCAGCTCTTCCGAGTCCATGTCTGTGTGTGGTGTGGTTGCTGGGGCTGTTTCTCCTGTGTACAGAGAATGCCCACTGCTTCAGGGACAGTGTTCTCATCAGTTCATGTGATGTCTGTCCCTGAAGACCGTTATCCCCACACCTCTGTGTGGAACCTGGGTAGGCCAGGGTGGCCAGGCCATTCGGCACCAGCCTAGCCTCAACTGGGGCTGACATCAGCAAACAATTAAGTATGGGCTCTATTAAAGTCCTGGTTTTGAAGCCAAATGCCAAGGAATGAACTCGAGTTTTATAACAGCTCAGGCCATGACACAAAAACGACTCAGCTCAGAGACATTAGTAGGATTCCAGGATTTGGTGCTGGAAGAAATGGGCTGGTGAGGTCTGAGCGCAGACAGGTGCGGGCAGGCAGGCTCTTTCCTCTGAAGGGCTTCCTGCGTGGGTCCCCATAGAGTCCAGTCATTTCCACAACACCCGTTACGGAGCAGAGGCCGGGCCGTTCCCTGGTAGAATGATCACCCTTCCTGCAGCAGACCCAGGTTTGATTTTGGCCAGTGAGTTCAGCAAAGCCCCCACGTATCTCTCCGCGAGGCTTGTCTGACGCCACTGTGCTGATCTCACAGAGCTTCCCCACTCTGGGACTCTGAAGAAAGGCGGGGCCATTGACTTCCACACGTCAGCCAGCGAAGCCCCTGTGGCCCCCAGTGAGCCAGCCCCTGAGTGTATGAGTCACCATGAGTTGGGTCGACTGTGGAACAGCCAATGACAACAGCAACTTGTCGAGCAGCCAACATGTCCGGGGCGGACCTAGTCTCCAAGGAAGCTGGAGTCTGGACAAGCCAGAGCCTTGTTGGCGTAGGGAAACATACATCTGTCCCACTAACGGAGTGATGGGAAGGGGGCAAAGGCGGGAACTTGGGGGGCTGGCCCACCGAGGCAGTCCTGTCTAGTGCTGCCTATCACAACCTTGGCTGCACAGAGTCCCTGACTCATGCCTGGCTTCTGTTTCAAAGTCAAATACCTCATTGAAAAAAAAAAGTTTTCCTTATGAGTGCCTTTTTTCTCAGAGTCTCCATAAATCTCATCTTCATTTGTCTCCATGGGTTGGAAACACTACATTTAAACAACACTGTATGTTGTACCAATGACTACGAACGATAAGGTGTAGGAAGAGTAGGGGAAAAATGATGGGCTTAAGTGTGGCTCATCAGGACCAGAACTGGTTGTAAATCAGGGCCTATCTGTGTCTCCCTTCTTGGGGAGTCCCTTCCATGGGCCAAGGCAGGAGCAGAGAGGAAGAGGGCCAGATCCGGCTGGAAGGGAAACTTGTGTGACCGACCAGGGACAGTTGGGCATGTGGAAGCTAACAGGCGAAAACAGAGGGTATCGTCCTGAGGAGAACTGAAAATGAGGGGCATCAGGCTGCACACACACAACTACACAACTCCAGGAGCTCATTGGGACTCAGCCTGGTGGGGCAACCCCACCCCTCCCCCAGCTGTACACGTGGGAGAAGCAGTCTCTGTGGTTCACAGATCCACTTGCAAGCCTAGCTTGTAAAAAGCATGTATGTTTTGTTTCACGTGAAATTGTTCATCTATCCCTATCACCAAGACTGTGGGTGTGGTGGTGTAGTAGATTACTTGCTGAGTAACCTACTCACCAAAAGGTAGCAGTTCAAAACCACCAGCTACTCAGGAGAAAGAGGCAGCGTTCTACCCCCATAAAGAATGATGGTCTTGAAGCCCACAGGGGCTCTATCCTGTCCCCTCGGTTGCGATGACTCGGAACGACGGGTGGCAGGACGTTTCTGAGAGCACTGTGTTGAGCGCTGCGAGGTGCTGCGGCACCACATGCTCACAAAGAAAGGAATGACTGGGAAGTGAACCTGTAGGGACATTCCCACTTCTCTTCGTCCCTCCTCCCCCCGGCCCAAGAAAGACCAGGAAAAGGTGATCGCATCCTCAGCCACATCCTGAGCAGGTACCTTTGTGCCTTCCAGTGGCCGCCCTTCTCTCCGCTGCAGTGCCCTGCGTGACCAGGACCCACCTGCACAGGTGGCCCTTGCTGTTCAAACAGAGCTGGTCCTATTTGTTGTCTACACTGAGCGGCTCCCAGGAATTGCGCCTTCCAGTTCATTGTGACTGGGGACTGTAGGCAAATCCCTAGAGACAGGACGCAGATTGTGGTTGCCAGAGGCTGAGGGGGCCTGGGCTGATTGCTTACAGGTTACAGACTGTGTGTTTGGGGTGGCGGAAAAGCTTTGGGACTTGGTTGTGACGAGAATGATGCAGCACGGTGAAGGTTAATATTGCGGTTGACTTGTGCACTTCAAAATGGTGCATTTTAGGTTATTTCTTTAATGTGCTGGAGACAGAACAAACTGTGTCATGCAGGTAAAAATGTCAGAGGGGGCGGGGTGCAGGGGAGGCGGGATGCCAAGGAGAATCGGCGATCACCGTCTTGGTTTGCCACCAGCAGCAGCAGCAGCTCTCGTCAAGTCTGATTCATGGCGACCCGTCTGCTCACTGAGAGTTTCAGGGGCTGAGTTTTAGGAAGTCGATCTCCAGGCCTTTCTTCCAAAGAAAAAGTGGGGGGACCCAAGCCTCCCCCTTTCACTTAGCAGCCGAGGGTGTGACCCATTTGCACCACCCATTCCATAACCAACCGGCCATGTTTCCCCCCCATCTCCAGGACACGCACCGGGCCCTCTTCATCCAGCAGCTCCGGCCCACGCAGACCCTCCAGCCGAGAATCAAACTCAAGCTGTTTGGCCACGCGGGTTCTGGCAAAACCACCCTGGTGGAATCCCTCAAGTGCGGGCTGCTCAGGAGCTTCTTTCGCAGGCGGCGGCCCCGGCTCTCCTCCACCAGCTCCACCCGCTTCCCGCCATCGCCCCTGGCTTCCAAGCCTGCAGGTAGGACACAGGGCGGCCCCTGGGCTCCGGCAACATGTGCTTTGCTGTCTCCTGTCAGGGCCTAGGCAGGCTGGTGTTTGCTTTGGTTCTTGGCCCAGGGCTGCCCTGCTCCTGTGGCCGGGGCAGCTTTCAGGAGTGTCCAGGCCAGCTACTAGCCCTGCGTCTCCTGTCTCCGTGGACCAGTGATTGCAGTCTCCCTGCAGGTGCAAAAGTGCCCCAAGAGCCTTGTATCACCTTTTCACTGCAGGCCTTTGCCCTTGAAGATAGAAAGTACTTGATCTAACACAGGTATTGATGACCCTCGGGATGCGCCACTGTTCCCGCAGCACTCCTGTCCCTCACTGGACTATAATTTTGGCCCCACTTGAGGCTGCAAAGTAGGTTACACATTCAGTCTTCCTGGCTGAATGATGAAGCCCATCCCCTCTGGTAATTCCTGGTGTCACCCCTAGAAGGAGGCAGCTCTCCTGCTGTGGAAGCAGCGTGTACTCATTATTGGGAATATTATAATCACACTAGTCATTGTAATCCACCTAAGGTCACTCCAGTCTGAACACCGTGGGAGTGAAGGAGGGAGGGGCGGGCTCTGTTCCGAACTGGAAAAGGACAGAGAGGGCAAGCCCAACAGGTCCTTTCTGCTTGTGGAAGGGAATGTACAGGAGTGTGTGTGTGTGTGTGTGTGTGTGTGTCGTTTACATCTACAATGTGAATGGTGTGTGTGGTGTGTATGTGTGGCACAAAAAACATTTGCACCACCCAAGGACTTTGGAAAGGCCAAGCTTAAATATAAGCCAAAGACCTGCTTTGGCTCGGCCCTCGTGTTCACCAAGGAGATGGATCGAGCAGGCCACTGCTTTTTGTAGATCCCAAGGGAAGGCCTCCCAAGAGTGTGTCCCCCAGGGAAGGGAGTGTTGGTTCTTGACAGCAGCATCTCCCTGTGGCACCAGCAGTGGTTGGCCCCTGTCTCTCCCTGGACAAGGCTCCTGACACTCCTTTATCTCCTCTTTCTGTCCCATGGAGAGATGCCTACATGAGATCATATCTCCCCTATAGGTAGCAGGGAGTCTTTGTGCCATTAGGAATCTCACCCTCTTGGGGAAAACTGTCCTGGAGGCTGGGCAGGCAGGACGATGTCTCTCGTGTCCTTGGGAGAGGTGGCCTCCTGCTCACAGCACTAGGTGGTCTTGTCTAGGACCCTTGAGCACCCCCTTTATCAGAGCAGGGTTGAAGGTGGGCACATCATGTTATTCCTGTTTGACAAGGCCTCGGTGCCCCGGGGTGTGAAATGACTTGCTCAAAGGTCAAAAAAGCCTGTCTTCTGAGTGGTTCAATGGAGGGTCCTGGGCTCACACTGGCCTGGCAGCCTTGGGCTCCTACAGGTGAGTCTGGCCACTGAGCCCACTCCTCTGCCTGTGGGGAGTGGACTTGCTTCCGGCTATCCTTATGTCACTCGGGCTCACAGTTGCTGAGTGTCCTAGCTGTTGAGTTGCGGTTTTACGGTAGGAGCAAAGTGGCCAGTGTCGTGAGGGATGACTATGCAGGGCTTACAGAGATAGCTGTCTCCTCATCAGAGAGGAGGATACGGAGGAAGAATCTTCCCAAGGCACCATCGCCCGGTCAATTTGGACTTGGCGCGACCCTCTCGGGCAGAGTAGCTCTCCTGCACGGGTTTCCCATCGAGCAGGCGGCCATATCTCCCTCCCCCAGAACAGCTTGGTGGGTTCCAGCTGCTGACCTTGGGGTGAGCAACTGAGCACTTTAACCCCTGCAGCACCTGGCACCCTAGGATCTTTCCAACGTGGTGCAAAAGTGGATTCGCCACCAACCTGCCACTCTTTACCAGGAGGGCACACACTAGGTTTCTGTCTATGATTTCATTGTTTCCTGTAGTAATCCAGAATGCAAGCCCAGACCGCCGCGGAGGTGCAGGCATTAGCGACTGTCGCTTTAGCACACGCTGTCCTCCGGGCACAAACCACCATGACACGGAGCAGTGCTTGTCCTGACAGATGGCCATCCTGACGGGCAGGCTTCCTGGTTCAGGGAAACCGGAAAATGTGCTCTCTTATTTGATTGTGGTGATATGTATGTTGTCATTTTAACTATTTCAAAGGTACCAGATGTGACACCATGTTGCACACCCATCACCATTTTGCATTTCCAAAGGACACAGAAGCTCACTACCCTCAGCAATAGCTTCCATTCCCCACGCCCTTTAGTTTCTTTTGTCTGAGTGGATTTGCCTTTTCTAGGTATTTTACATAAGGAGCCCTGGTGGTGTAGGTGCACCCTGGGCTGTGATCCACCTGGTCAGCAGTTCAAAACCAGCAGCAGTTCTGCAGGAGAAAGACTGGCCCTTCCCTTGCCATCAACAGCGACAGTGTTGGAAACACACAGGGGCATTGCTATGAGCCAGCATGGGCTCCACGGCTGGGAGTTTGGTTTGCATGTGCGGGGTCACACACCACTTGTCAGTGAGAGTCGAACGTCTATGCTTCAGTATGATGAAATGTCACAGATCAGAACTTCATTTCTTTCCATGGCCAAAGAACGTTCCATTGCACGTCTACACCACATGTTGAGTGTCCATTCACCTGGGGATGGAGACTTGTTCTCACCTTTTAACTCATGTGTAGCTCCCACAGCTTTTATCAGGCTTGGAATCATGGTCTGCAGAGAAATGCAGCAAAGTACTGTCACGTTGACATTGAGAATTGAACCATTTTGCTTTCTTCTTCCCAGTTCTGTACTGGCCAAGTTCTCTACAATCAGAATGTGTACGCACACATGCATGTGTTGTGTCGAGTGCCTTCAAGTCATTGTGATTCATAGTGACCACATGTGACACAGTAGGACTGCCCAGAGGGTTTTCTAGGCAGTGATCTTGTGGGGAACAGATCACAAGGGGTTTCTCTCTTGGGGCCCCTGAGTAGGTTCCAACTGCCAACCTTCAGCTTGGAGTCAAGGGCCACCAGGGTCTCTTTTGATGTATATAAGCTCATAGCTCATTGTCCTCTCTCTTCTCCGTTCACCTCTTCCTGCTCTTGTGGTCCAGGTTTCTCCTCTGTTTCCCACTCTGACTCCAGGCTTGGATAAGGGTGTTGGGATAACCAATTTAAAGACAGCCCAAGTGAAAAGACCCTTCCTTTGTGAAGTGCCTGCCAGGACTAATTGTGGACAAAGGCGCGGTGTAGTGTAGTCAGCTCCTTGGGTATTCCCCTGCCTGTATTCATTCATTCACCTGATGCTTATTGCGCTCCCACCACGGCCATCTCAGTCTCCCTCTACTGCTATCATGCAAATACCACACGTAGGTGCTCTCAGGGATTAAAAGGCTGGAAGTTTGAATCCAGTGTGTGGCTCTAGAAGGAAGGCTTCCTAGTCTACTTCAAGTTCTAGTAGCTACAGCAATTCTTGTGGATGAATCTTGCCTCCATGTCTGTCTTCCTCTTCTCCCTAGGTGTTTCTAGGTCTACTCTGCTCTTTTTGTTGCACAGAAATGATTAGATTTAGAATCTACCCTCCTCAGGTGTACTCTTATAATTAGCATAAGAAAAAATTCATATTTTCAAGGAGGATGACATCAGTGGGTACACTGACTTAGGATTCCAGAGCACAGGTGAGGCAGGCACAATTCACCCCATTACAACAGGCCAGTTGCTGTCCTCCCAAACCATGAGATCTTTAAGGAGAGGCAGGTGGACAACAAGACATTACAGGCTCTCAGTTGTTGTTGTCAGGTGCCGTGGAGTCAGTCCTGACTCATAGGAACCCTGTGTACAACAGAGCGAAATACTGTCCGCTCTTGCACTATCCCCACAGTTGTCCTTATGATGAAGCTCATTATTGCAGCCTACATGTGGCTTGCTGAGGGCCTTCTTTGGCGCTGGCCCTCCATTTTATCAAGCATGGTGTCCTTCTCCAGGGACTGTCCCTCCGGACAGCGTGTCCAAAGTACATAAGGCGAAGTCTCACCACACTCGCTTCTAAGAAACATTCTAGCTGTACTGCTTCCAAGACAGGTCTGTTGGTTCTGTTGGCAGTCCCCGGGACTCTCAATATGCTGCACCAGCACCACAATCCAAATGCACCCATTCTTCTACGGTCTTCCTTATTCAGGGTCCAACGTGCACATGCACATGAGGCAATGGAAACTGCCATGGCTTGGGCCAAGGCCTCAAAGTAACATCCTCCCTCACTTTGCAATACTTTAAAGAGGTCTTGTGCAACAAATTTAGCAAATGCAATGTGTCCTTTGATCTCTTCATGCAGCTTCCATGAACATTGATTATGGATCCAAGTAAGACAAAGCCCTTGGAAGCTTCAGTTTTTTATCCGTTTATCATGATGTTACCTATTGGTCCAGGTGTGAAGATTTGAGTCTTCTTTACATTGAGTCATAATCTCGTCTGAAGGCTGCAATCCCTGATCGTCATTAGCAAGTGCTTCAAGCCCTCCTCACTTTCAGCCAGTACGGTTGTGTCATCCACATATCCCAGGTTGTTAATAAGCTTTCTTCCAATCCTGATGCCACATTCTTTTGCATATAAATCAGTTTCTCTGATTATGTGCTTTGCATAGTCTGTTATGATCCACACAGTCGAATGCCTTGGCATAGTCAATAAGACACAAGTAGACATCTTCCTGAGATATTCTGCGTTCAGCCAAGATATGTCTGATGTTAGCAATGATAGCCCTTGTTCCACATCCTATTTTGAATCCGACCTGAATCTCTGGCAGCTCCCTGTCAATGCGCAGCATAATCTTCAGAAAAATTTGCTTTTATAGTCAATGATAATGTTCTATAATTTGAGCATTCTGTTGGATCACCTTTCTTTGGAATGAGTATAAATACGGATCTCTTCCAGTCCAATTGGCCAAGTAGCTGTCTTCCAAATTTCTTGGCATAGATGAGTGAGTGCTTCTAGTGCTTCATCAGCTTGTTGAAACATTTCCATTGGTATTCCATCCATTCCTAGAGCCTTGCTTTTGGCTAATGC